TGGTTATGTTTTTTTTTTGTTTTTTTTTTTTTGGGGGGGGGGACAAAAACTTGAAAGGGTAATTTTCAATCACTTGAAGATATAAGAGTGCTATAAAGACTGTATTCAAATGATTTGTGGCAACAATTTTCATTCTCCAGAGACACTCCAATTATTTGTCAGAAAGGTTAGGTCAATTATATACCATATGTTCAGAGGGTTGAGATTATGAAAAATGTTGCTATGAATGTAAGTCCGCAAATGATTCCTTAATGAGCTACAAGCAAATGTGTTTATTTATAACTTCACAAAGGTAATAATAATAAACAGAGCAAATGCTCAAAGTGATCACCTTTCAACTGCAGTTCAGTGTTATCACAAGTTGCATGTACCTTACAGTATAGTATCTTACTAATCACAAATCACAATGAAATTCAAGTATGCACTTGACCTGTGGCAAAGCAGGAGGAAATACTTGTGCAGATGCAAAACATTTTGCAGAAGTTTCCAAATCAGCAATAACCAAATTATAAAATGTTTTCCTGAACAGATCAATGATTAAGAGACTTTGTTTTTCTTTGGTACATACTGTCTGAAGACAATCGCACCCTCCAAAAGCACAATTACTTCATAAGAAATGATTATCATTTTTCACAACCTGTCATCATTTTCATCTGTCTTATCAAGTTCATATTTGTTGTCATCAAAATGTAGGAATCTTACTATATGGACAAATCTGTCTCATTTCACTGTGTTTCTGTAAAAGGCCATAACAACTGTTCTAGTATGGACCAGTAATCATTCAGCCTGTCTCTTTGGTCATGCCCCATTTGCACAATAACAGATAGAAACAAGTATATTTCCCGCATAGTCTTGTCAAGCAGTGGGGAGCATCTTTTGTAAACTGCATCCAAATATTGGAGGTAAATCTGTTTGTCTTGCTATTGCATATGAACACCTTAAATGTTTGTGCCATACTTCCCTGACAGAGGATAGAATATTTTCGGAAAAAGAAAAAATGTGAAAATAATATAATTATAAATTAATGAAGTAGTGGTAATCTGCTACATTTCAATGCTATATAACTCGGATTTCATCTGGCCATCCATTTAAAGAGCTTTGATTTAAATCCCTTACTTAAAAGGTTGATGTAATGCCATATCATAAATGTTGAGAATTACAATTCAGTACACAGAATGTAACATTGCGTAACTATTTTAAATTGCAGCTTCAACTTGTCACAATTCACATTCAGACTTTCAGCTGCAGATCTTTACCTTGCCAAAGTGTCCTCGACCCAGTACACTAAGCAAACGGAAGCTCTCCATAGACATGCCAGAGAACTGTGAGTGCCTTCGTGACTCATACGCACTGTCTCGGTACTCCAGTCCACGACCAGATGGGCGCCGCACCATACCTGCCTGCTCATACACCACCTGCCAGACAAGTTGGTCGGCATGTACATCGGAATCATACCACCCTTTCCAGTAACTAGTCAAATACTCATAGCTTACATCTGTGTTCATCCAGCCAGCATTAGAAAGTAGATAAAAAGAATTAAATCTGAACAATATCTGGAGTGCCCTAAACAGACATTCTTCTCAGTGACAGTACTGTCAGATGGTAACACAGTGGGCACATTTTATAAGTATTTTATAGGTAAACAAAATGAAATATTATGAGGCAAGCATAAATGTTAAGCCACCAGAGTGAAGGGTTTCAATTCTGCAAGCTTTTGCAATGTAACAACAAGAAAACTGTCAGTACAGAAAATGTAAAATGTTTTGAATCCTACAAAAGAATGTAAACCACATAACTCCATGGCTCAGAGGCCTTCTTAACAAGCCTTTTCACTCAGTGAGTCAAGAAATTTCCCACTTCCTACTATGTCTTTGAAAATTAAACTGTGTGCAATAATCTAATACTGTGTTGCATAACGTAATATTTCAAAATCTGCCACTGGTATTTCAATATCACACTGAGTAAACACCATTTAACATAATTTCTCAAGGCAAGTCAAATTAATCACTTTGCTGCACTTTTTCTGTACTTCTTTGTCTAAGAAATTAAATCTCCTCTATTGTATTATGCTTTATATTTAGGATCTGCATAAAACATTCACTATGCAGGGTGATATTTTGCGGCTTCACATCAAGTTACCTGATCACAAGATTCGTATGCACATTCAAGCTTTTTCTAAGATATAAATGATAATCTTAGAAATAAATTTAGAATAAAATATAAAACAATACTGACTCATATCTGTGAACACTTACTAAAACATTTTGAAAGCTTCACGGACACCCTTTTAAGTGTGATCTCAGATTCATGACATAATACAAAAATAGTAGATTTGATACTGAATTTCCAGTACAAACCTTAATCAGAATCCTTTCACGAACAATTTATTATGTAATGTATTAAACAAAGTTGCAATCCCAATATGAATACTGTGTAAATCAGCTCCATTTGTACTCACACACAAGATTGTTTGAAAAAATCTGTAGTATTCTATTAGGAGAACTTGTTTAATATTATTAGCTACTTCAGAAAAAATGACAATCAAAACTCTAAATCAGCTGTAGCATACTCATACACACAACTTGAGTTGCTCAAGTCCATTACAAGACACACTGGTTACACACTAAATTTTTAACAATATTGACAGTGATACTTATGTTCTCAAAAATAAATTCAAACCAAAATTATAAGAAACATCTCAAATCACAGAGGAAAACCTATGCAACAAGAATTTAGCTGTCCAAAATTAGTACATTCTATGTATAACATTCATGGAGAATGATTCAACTGAGGCATTTCTCATTATGACAGACAACAAAAAATATTAATTTCTAGCCCACCACCTCTGTTGTCATATATACAACCACCACCAAAAGAGAATGAGACATGTGTAACTTCTCAGAAGAATACGAGGTGTGTTAAAAAAACCGAACTTTTGCTATAAAGACTTTATTGCTAATTTTACAACATTTTAAGCTCTGTCCCCTTCAAAGTAGTCCCCTCTACTGGCGTTACACTGTTCCCAACGTTTCTTCCCTTGTTGGAATGCTTCCTGGAAAGCACTTTCTGTGAAGGCGAGCAGTTCTCTTATCACATTTTCCTGAATCTCCTCTATGGTTTGGAAACGACATCCTTTCAAATTGCTTTTAAGTTTGGGAAACAAGAAAAAGTCTGCTGGGGCTAAGTCCGGAAAATAGGGTAGATGGGGCAAAACGGTTGTCTGATGTTTTGCCTGACAACTGCAGATGAGGAGCGACCCGTGAGCCGGTGCATTGTCGTGGTGCAACATCCAAGTCTGGTTTCCCCACAATTCAGGCCTCTTCCTGCGCACAGCATCCCTCAAACACACTAAAAATTTCTGGTAGAACTGTTTGTTTACCATCTGACCACGTGGTACAAATTCATGATGGACAATGCCTTTCTAATCAAAAAACACAACCAACATCACCTTGACATTTGACAGACTCATCCATGATTTTTTTGGTCGAGGAGACCCTTTCTCCACCCACTGCGACGATTGTATCTTGGTTTCAACATCATAGCCATAAACCCACATCTCATCTCCTGTTATGATGTTCTTACGAAAGTTTTCATTACCATTTGCATTGGTTCTCTTTCTGAGTGTCAGTCAACAAACGCGGCATGAATTTTGCATCTGAAGTTTTTCAGTCAAAACTTGATGGCAAGATCCTATGCTGATGCCCACTTCGTCAGCAACTTCTTGGATAGTTAAACGACAATTTCCACGAATCACAGCACAAACTCTGACGACATGGTCGTCGTCTGTTGATGTGGAAGGTCGTCCAGGCCTGGGATCTTCATTGACCGACGTTTTGCCCTCTTTATAATGTTTAAACCACTCATAGCACTGAATTCGGCTCATACAGTCCTCCCCGTATGCTTGGTAAAAGTTTGTCCCACTATACGCCATGTAGGCGTTTGGGGTGAGAGGAGGTATAGCTCCTCTCTTCCTTGACCTCGGCACTAGATGGGGGTGAGTGGTCAGCATCCTAAAATTTTTTACCAAGTTTGCAGCAAAATTTCACACACACGCTGTTCTTCAAGCCCTTTAATTGTCACTTTGCCACTAATCTGACGAACAGCTTGTGCATGTGCTCAGTTAAGCGGATGTAGCTCGACGACTAATGTTCATAGCGGAACGTGGCAAATGGCAGTTTGTCATCAAACCCTGCCGCTAGGTGCGCTCAGTAGCCGCAGCACACTCTCTGTCCCGGTTGGCACGCTATTTACAAAGTTCGGTCTTTCTTTTAACACACCTCGTACAAGCTACAAGAAGTTCTGCAAGTATAGTACAGATGACTCAGAATATACAAGCCTGTTAGACTACAAAAGAATATTACAAGAAAAAGTTATATGGTTTTAAATGTGGTTACAATTGTGGCCAATCAAAACCTCCACAATAAACATGCAAGGAAACCTGCGTGAGGGCACTCACTTCCCTAAAAAAATATCCAACAATGCCAGCTGTGTAAGGCCTTTAAACATATTTTTGGAACCAGACCATGTCAATAACACTGTAAGCCATGAGGCGAGGTACAACCATTCTTTAAAACGTTAAGGTAAAACTGAGAACTGACTGTCTCTTCAATAAACACAGGTTCCAACATTCAAATACTAGAATGTGCATACCAAACTGTAACTTGCCAAGCATATGAGGGACTGTCAATAACAATCTCTGGAATTTGGAAAGCTCTGTTATGAGAATTCTATTCATTCATGTAACTGTTTGAATAAAAATGGGCTCCATCGGAAAACCATATTCTGCCCCATTACCAAGAAACATTAAATGCCTGTCTTTCTCTTAAAGCCACTTGAAGCTTCAGATAACTGCATCTTGTATGGATACGCTGATAATTCAATGTGGTATACATAGCTCATGGTCATTTGCTGTGAAACGTAATATCAGTTGCTCTTAGGACAGCTCAGTGAAGTTCACACACCATATCAATTACCCAGCATGGACTCTCCGCTGATTAAATAGACTACTTGTCTCTTAAAACTACCAAACTAAATGCCAAACAGTATTTTTTTGGTTGGTCCTTCATGTGAAGCAAAATCTGTACAGAATTTTTTGTGTTTTTCAACCACAAAATTTCCACTTTTGTACGCTTTTTCCACAAGAAATCTTCCTGCTGCACACTGTAGGCCCTCATTATGTTTTATGTTAAAACAGTGCTCTTTACAAAGCTACCAACCTAAAATAAAAACACGTACCTTAAGTCTCCTAAATTTTCAGTTCCAAGAATGGATGGACTACAAAAATATACGAGGGTCGCTCATTAAGTAATCCCCCACATTTTTTTTCTCAGCCAATAATGAAGATAGAAAAGTGTACTTTTACATGCTTGAGATTTGATGTTTCCCGCGTTCGTGTACGGAGTTTCAAATGATTCCAACCGATAGCGGAGCTGTAGTAAACTGTTAAAATGGCGTCTGTGAACGACTCTCGTTACAAGCAACGAGCTGTAATTGAATTCCTTGTTGCTGAAAAAGAAACGGTGGTGAACATTCATAAACGTTTGTGTGCTGTGTATGGAAGCTGTGCAGTCGATAGGAGCACCGTTGGTCGCTGGGCTAAGAGAGTTAAAGCTTCAGGAAGTGAAGAAACCGAGCTCCGTGATCTGCCGCGCTCTGGGCGTCCTGCCACAGCCACCACTCCAGACATGTTGAACCGCGCGGATGCCATTATTCGTGAGGATCGGCGCATCACAACTCGACAATTGGCCCAACAGCTTTCAGTCAGCAATGGAAGTGTGATTGCAATTATCCAGGCTCTCGCATATTCGAAGGTGTGCGCAAGATGGGTTCCACGAAGTCTCACAGCAGACCACAGGATTCAAAGGAAAACGATTTCTTCTGAATTGTTGGAGCGTTTTGATGCTGAGGGAGAGGTCTTTCTGTCCCGGATCATTACAGGTGACGAAACCTGGATACACCACTTTGAGCCAGAGACAAAAAGGCAGTCAATGGAGTGGCATCATCCTCAATCACCGAGAAAGAAGAAATTCAAGACAACTCCCTCCGCCGGAAAAGTCATGATGACTGTCTTTTGGGACAGTGATGGGGTCATTCTTGTGGATGTGATGCCAAGAGGTGCGACCATCAATTCAGACGCGTACGTCAGGCCCCTGAAAACCCTCAAGAAGCGTTTTCGACGAGTTCGGCCTCACAAGCATCCAGCAGAAATTTTGCTCCTGCACGACAATGCACGCCCTCACACAAGTCTGAGAACCCGGGAAGAAATCACCAAATTTGGTTGAACGGTGCTGCCCCATCCACCCTCCGACTCCATCTCTTTGGGCCACTTAAAGATGCTATCCGCGGAACAAGATTTGAAGATGACGAGAGCGTTATTCAAGCAGTGAGGACATGGCTACGTGCACAGGACAAGAGCTGGTACCGGCAAGGCATGCATGCACTTGTTCCACGCTGGCGTAAAACCGTACAAGTTGATGGGGACTATGTGGAAAAATAGTATGTTTAAAGGAAACATTGATTTATATTGTCACTAAATTTGAGCCATCTTGAATAAATATGTTCTGAGGAAAAAAATGTGGGGCATTACTTAATGAGTGACCCTCGTATATGAGGAAATGAAATGTCTGATGAATAAAAAATCACTCCATCTGCTGCCAAAATTTATCATAGATTATGGCATCTTGTCTTTCATTACCCGATGTTTTGATACTGATAAGTCAAAATACAGTGTTCTGCATATACTGTCTTCAACTGAATGAAATCAGAAATTCTCAGTGAACATATTTTCTGTGTCCATGATTCATAATGAATGGTCATTACATTATAAAAAGCTTGATTTTATTTCACTTAACTTAGTTACGTGTGAAAAGACCAAGTGAAGTTGATTCTGCCATTTGTTACTTTCAAGCCATGCCATTTTCAACAGGACTAAGGAAGAAAACATGCCAACAGCAAGATGCTAAGGGTGTAGGAAAGAAAAAACACAAGTTCACTCACATACTCGACAATAACATTCGACATCACATAAACTTTGGTAGAAGCAATTACATGAAATTTTAAAGTGTCTTGAATTTTTCAGCTCAGTGCCCATACAATGTTAACAAATGGATTCTCTAATTAATAAAAGCCAAAAGTTCAACACATCCACTAATAACCAAAAATCCCACGATAATTTAATCCAGTTTGCATCTAGACAACCTGAAATGACGCGTAGCATCTCGGAAAGAGCGGCTTCGTGGGCCACCAGGGATTGGATGAAGAGAAAACATCAGTGGACAAAACATGTGACAGGTTTCCTTCAGAAATCCTCTGACAAAAGAACTAGGGAATTATTAGAATTAAAAACTGAACCAGCTAAGACAAGAGAAATGACAATTCCAATTGACAAGACTCTCATTAAAAGCGGCAACTACTCAAACTTGGACTGGCAAAGAGTCCCACCTGTAAGAGATTTCATAACAGAGAACAAACAGCCTCACGTTGAACCAAGATTTCATTACCTGGGAATGCACTTTATAAAATGACTACCAAGTGAAGTATGAAGTGTGAGACTGCTAGAGAGCTGAATTACAGGAAATACACAGCGAATAAAATATGGTTTCTCTAAATGCAACTTAGCATAACCATATTTATGTAATTAAAGGACACTCTTTTAATTCTAAAATGTTTGTCCACGTTGCTAACTTACCACAAGGTTATGTGCAGATGACAGCTGTCACAGATATGAACATTCAAGGTAAGGAGGTGATTTTGGAAAACACATGAATTAAAGTGCATAAAATTGTAACCAAAGTGTTGGGAGTGTAGAGAGAGTTATTCATAAACACGTATTGTTCAAGAAAGTGTGTGTAAGGTGGGTCACAAAGATACTGACACTAGATCTGAAAGCACAACATGTTTTTGTTGACCATTTGAGATGATGAGAGAGTTCTTTGGTGGTCTTATTATTTATTGAAACTCGTGACCTCCTTGATCCCCAGATGTAGGGGTTTATGAAAGAGAACAAGCACAAAAACAGCCCACACACAATGGAAGAATTGAAACAATGTACTGAGCTGTACATTTCAAATGTCACTGTAGAAACTCTTCACTACTACTACTACTACTACTATGGCGTAACAGCCCAAAATCGAGCCCTAGCCTCCTCAGAAACTCTTCACTGGGTTGAATCAAACATGGGGAAAAGATAGAACGCATGCATTCCTGAATGTGGTGGACATTTCCAACACTTAATACAACATTATTTTCTGTTTTATGATTTCAAAGTAATTTATGTTTGGACAAACAGAACATGTGTCAGAAATGGGTTGCTTGACCATCCTGCAGCTGGCAGTCTGTAAAGACACAATTAAACCACCCCACACCATCAGTCTCTCCCAGGTATACAAGAAGAAAGACGGCTTATCTCTTCAAATTCAAGGTATCCATCTTGTGACAGAATCTGAAATTCTTCAGTCCAACAGCTTTCTTCATTGTGATTATGTTGCTTGGACAGCGAAAGATAGTTGCAAATTTTTTAGTGATTATGATAAATACTTTTCCAATTTCAGAAATGTTCAAAACTAAATTATGACAATGAAACTGGACTGCTCAGACTAGAATATGAAGTTTTAAATAATATATCCCTGTGAAGTCTTTGATGAGATGTCTGTGAAGTGAGTGGCTAATCAAAGATTTAAATAAGAAGACTTAGGATTGGCTTTCAATATTACTTGCCATTTTGATGACAAGAGGCAAAATATGATTAGCTGTTCCAGGTGACGGAAGACTGGTGACATAAGAGCTAACGCAAAATGCAGAAAATAAGTATTTAGAATCCATGGCTTCTGAGTGGTTTTGCCAGGAAAGATGTCAGTGTACTGGATGATGGAGAAAGATCAAGGTTAACCTTTAAATCCCCCTATTTCGCCAGGCAGCTGGAATATATGGAAATTTAAACACATTACAGGACATGGAAAAAATGGCCTATTTATTTCAGTTTTAGGGCTAGAATCTTCAAATAAAATGTAGGCTATTTTGTATGAATCAATTTTCCCCATACCAGAGTTTAAAAATAATCAGCCTGACAGCATAGTTTACATACATTTTTCATTTTGAACTTTTCTTTTTTGTTTATTCTTTGAAAGTTGGAAAAGAGATAAAGTAAGAGAAACTTTCACATTGCACCAGAGCTTCAGAATGGCGTTTCTTGCGTCACAGCCACACATGTAACATCTTTGCACCTCATATGGTACCAAACTACAAGATGTAACATATTTATCTGACTGTATGCCCCCCTACCCAAGCCAACTTTTTCTAAGTCACTGAATAATGTTCTTGATTGAAAATAAATGTAATTTTATCTGCCAAAACTTCTACCAAATCCTTACAAGTTTGTTAAGATTGTACAAGGGTAGATAATGTTACTGGTCAGCAAAGTGTATTTTTTAGGATGGATGCAAGAACCAAAAATACAGAACATAATAATAATGTTCCAGTGCCCATGCATGTAGCCTTGTATGAACTGCATGAGATCAGAAGTTCTCACAGCAATAAAAATGTGGATTATGGTCTTCCAGGTTAGGATTTCATATAGTCTTGTTGGTGGTTACCACTCCTTCACCTCTATATTAGCATTCTACCCTGACGATGGAGGCAAACTACCTCTGACAAGCTGGTAATCACTTTCATAACCCAGAAGAACTTATCTACTTTAATCCACTTTGAGGGACTAATTAAACCAAGAAGAATTTCAGGAAGTAGAGACAGTTAATATACTAAGCCCAGAAATGCAATGTTAATGTTGAAGTTAGCTGTTGGCCAGAAATGTAACAGGACAAGGAAGAATATGTGACACCTTTGGCATGGTTCAGGTCAGAAGCTCAAGCACCATAGTTCCATTGAAGTATGGTAAGGGAGGGTCATGTACCTCTTCCTCTGGAAACTGGACCACAGGTTGGGGTGAGGGTGAGCGTTCCTCTGGAGTGCTGGTCGATGGCCGAGCAGTGGGTGGCAGCGGTGGAGGACCCAGGTCAGGTGAACTGCGTTCCTCTGTGTGCAGGAAGTCAAACTCCCGCAGTGCACTCTGCAGCTATAAAACAGCATGGGAGGACAAAGCACTACAAGGAGTGCATCGAGCGAATAGCCGAGCTGCTGCCGGGTAGCATGGGTGCCTTCCCACATGCTGATCAAACCTACTCTAACAATTACATCAACTTCTGTCCAGACATTGCCATTCCATGTATCAAGATGGAACATAAACAGAGAATTTCAGATAAAGTGTCAGCAGAATATTTATCTAAAAGAAGGTATACAGATCTGTGCAAAATTACTCCAACACCAGCAAATGGACTTTACAATATACTGTACATTGTGCAGCTACAGGTATAGGTGGCAAGGTCCTTCAAGAACATTACAAGGCGGCATTATGAGAACATTATTTAACACATGACCAAGAAACTTCTGTTCACTTACTTTATGTTCAGTAACATGTGGTAGGGAACAATATTAACAAACCATAACCTCACATACCTCCACATCAAGTCTCGGAGGGGGTGGAGGTGCAGGTAATGCTGAACTTCGCTTCTTCTGAGCAATAGTTGAAGGAAGTAATGACATGGATACAGCTGTGTCAGGGGGCAGAGGGGGTAGTACAGCTACACCAAGTCCAAGGGGGCGTGTTCCAGACAACCCAACTGCCTGCGGATCAGGCGTTTCACCAGGAGCCTCAGGTTTATCTTCTGTCAAAGACATGTCAAACGACAACTGAAGTGGCTGTATACCTGAAAGATAATACAGCACATTGAAGAGGTTGTCATATAATCTTCAAAGTTATCTGATTCATAAATTCTCATTATTAGAAACTTCTACTGTTAGCAACCAGAAAGACAGTTTGCAAACCTCCCGTACCTCATACAGTGAAATGTAAACAGTATGATGGTGGATGCAGAATGTCACATCTGAATGCTTAGTTTCTAGTGTATATCTGAGGAAGAGGCAGGGTATTAACTGCATCCTGCATGACCTGCGGCTTGTGCTTCTGAAGTACAGTATGATCACAATATCACTGTCACTATAAAAGAGATCATGCAGGTCATGTCATGTTGTAACCTGCTCATGCCAGTCTTTCACTTGTCTGTCAACAGTCGAAGTGCAAGGATATCTTTTCACAAGTGCAATGTTCATTGTCAAACACTACCCAGCATCTTCATACTTAACTTGCCAGAATGAGTTTAGGGATGCATTTCCCAATTCTCCTGTGCCAAACCAATTGACACTATCTTGTCTGGTGAACCATTTCAGTGACAGGAACCCCCCCCCCCCCATGTTTTTTGAAATATGTTCCATTATGAAATAACATTTTATTTCAGTTTCAGATTTATGAAAAATGTTTAGTTTAAATTCCTTTGCCTCTGGTAAATTGTTAGCTTGCTTTCTAACTAACGTAAATTACACCCATCTTAATAGAATTTCTTACGAAAAATCACTTCAGTAATGTACCCACAGAGTTTGGCAAACTTCTCTTGAATCACCATAAACATGTAACTGGAAAATACTACACAACACACCTTTATATTAGTGAGTGCAATAACACTCTACATACAAGTCTGCAGAGAGATGGAATAAATGTTCAAAGTATGGAAGGCACTAAGCAAGCAGTCTGAAGGGAACAACCCCTGTATGCTTCCCTCACTTTACTTGTTATTACAAACTTTTTGGGCGTATGAAATATAAACTTGATTTTGTATTAAATTCTCATTCAAAAGAAGTAATTTTTAAATACATTACACACAGGGTAGTTAATTTAAGGCTAAATCATATCTTATTCACCAACTGCACCATGTGAGCAAAGGACTGCATAAAATGGTTGGTAGATGCAATATTATACCTGAGCTGATAGTCACTTGTAAATTTATATAATTTTTTTGCCTCAATGTGCACATGTCACCTATTTATCACTATGAAATTGAAGCAAGCATGTCATCCTGCCAATTAATTTCAATAAACACAAAACTTGTATGTACAAGTCATTCAGGTCTGTAGGACACATGTGGAAAGCCTGAGAGTATGAGATTACAGTTTATAACAGTATCTCTTATTTGCTTTGATTTGTTTTATAAAATTAGCTAATGACAAAACTGAAAGTGATGTAAGCATACAGATGGTATCACAATTCCAATAATTTGTAATCTCCTAGTATTTGTCCATACGTGGCTTTTCTCTACATTCAATTAATTACATTATGTATGCCAGACATGTATTAAGTAGACACCATCATGTGTGCCTAATTTGAAGAAAACCATGACACTTCTAAGATTTGGAACTAGGTTCAACACCAAAGTCTTCATTCTGACATCCATACTCACTTGGTGCAATAGTGGGTAGCACAGCAGAAGAGTGTTTAATGAATTCTTCTCAGGCTACCACCCAAGTCAGGTAGTTGAAAGATGAGTCTGACTTCAGTACTGTGAGGACGAGGATGAGGGTGGTTCTCAAAATGTTGGTGTTCTCAAATTTAAATCACCTGACACAGCTGACAGCCAGAGAAGAATTCATTATGGTCACCATGAAAGCTTCAGATCATACATCAGAATAGTGTTGAAGTAAAAGTCAAAGATGCAAGTACAAGTCATGGCAGGAGAAGTGTTTTCGTAATGCATATGTTGTAATCACACAAATCATCATTTAAACAGTGCAGTTGTATATTACTCAACTTCACACTCACTACCATAAGAACTTCAATTCCTTTGTCATTTAGGGGTGCCCAGATTGTGTTCTTGGCCTCTGTCAAAGAATTTCACATTGAACTTCTAAATTCGGTGAGGTCCATATCCCAGAATTATCTTTTACAATATGTTATTTTTGAAAAGTGTGCATTTCATCCTTCCAAAAGAATTTTCTAAATTGGGTTATTGGTTCCAAAGTTAGTGAAGTTTCTTTGCGGGTCGGCAAGTAGCTTGGTTCTTAAGAGATAAAATCTGCTCCTACTCACAATACAGTTCAGTTAAATGCCCAGATTGAGGAGAAAAGAACTGTTTTTAAATCAAAATGACCACTACACCACCTGAACAATATACATTAACCATGTTTACAGAGCACACAAAACCAAAGGACCACCATATAGTTATGAGCCTAATACAAGTTTGGTCATTTTGTTTCCTATAAACAAACTCTTTTACCCCCACTGCAGCTAGATGACTGGTCACCATACAAGTGTGTGAACATTGAGATTCACTTCCCTTCACATTTTTCAGTCACACCAGAAACCATATTAGCCATAAATACTATTAGGCAGAAAGTGATCAAAAACACTCATAGCAAATAATAAAATAGCACTGATATTACAATAAAGAGTTATTTGACATTACTAGCCATACTTATTTGATCAGGCTTTTACTGCACTTGTCTTTACTATTATTATTAGTACATAATATTTTAAATCTAAATTACTGTACCCTGAAACAGCCGTACAAAACACACTTGAATGTATTTTGTATGAAAGTGCATGATAAATTAGTATATAACATTCTTCTTCTTCTATGGTTCTCTGGTCCATAGCCTCCTCAATTCTCCTCTTCCATTCAGTCCTATCCTCCGCTGCCTTCTGTTAGGTCCATCTGTCCAAGGCTTTGATTGAGGTTTCGAAACATCTTCCTTTTTACGGTGCAAGGTTGTTAGCCTTGCGACCAACACCCAACCTGGAGGACCGGGGTACCTGTCTTAGTCTGACCTCTCCCCCTCGACCAATCTGGCTAGGGAGGCCCTACCAGTAGCTATGCTACCGCCCGCATAGCTCTTGCCTTGCGACCAACACCCAACCTGGAGGACCGGGGTACCTGTCTTAGTCTGACCTCTCCCCCTCGACCAATCTGGCTAGGGAGGCCCTACCAGTAGCTATGCTACCGCCAGCATAGCTCTTGGGATCACTGAGGTACTCAAGACCCACCACCAAGACAAGGTGCAGGTACCATTAAGTGAGGCTCTCATAATATACAGATTTCAATTTCTGTGCCACACTGGTTGGGAAATCAAAGACCTACATGATCCCCAATTGCGGAAATTTTCAAGAAATATAAGGCAAGCCTAAAGTGTGAGCTGCATTAAATACGAGCATATGAATATCAAAGAGTCTGAAACAAGAAAATTAAACTACAAGTGTGTCTGAACGTGACAATCACGTCAGATGCCAATAAATTACTTCTCTAGAAATATTCATACCTGATGGAGGACTTTCTGACGTTGGTTGAGTATGGTTGTTTTGGATTGAAGGCGATGACCTTTTGAGCAAACGACCCCATGTTGCTACATTGATGTTCATCTGATTTGCACGTGGGAAGTTCTTTACTTGTTGCTTGAAGATTTTTCTTTGTCTCTGGAGTTTAGGTTTCCGTGATATCATTGGATTCACAAATTTAATCTAAAACATCAATAAAAGCCTTAATCTTGTGCTAAAAACTAAATATGTCACATCCCAAAAAAACCGGAAATGTTACCTGTAATTGCAAAACATGTGGCATGCTTGTTTTTAGATATGATGGATAAGGTACAGATAATGCTAATCCTGAATGCTACTTACTACACAGTTTGTAACTACACCCAATCAACTCCTTGTGTCTTACATTATGGGTTATCTGGCAAAGGTCAATAGTCACAACTCCTAGCGTAGCTCAGGTTGAAAGGATTAATTCTTGATCTGCTAGAAAGATCATGACAACAAAATCTGGGTCACTCCTAAAAATGAAGAGCTGACCAATAAGGAAGCCTAAGGTTAAATCTGTGTTGATTTTATGAAGTAAGCAATGCAATAAATAAATCACTAAAAATGTTGCCAAGCATGTTTTAAGGAAGATAGCTTTCTTCTTCTGCTTATACAGCAAACCTAATAGTTACTCTCTTTGTTCAAGGCAACAAAATGTGCTAAACAGCTGAGCTATAAAAATTTCAACACCTCGATACACAAGAGAAATGACGAAAACTACAAACAGATGCATTCATCTGTAGGATTTGAGATTTTCACAGCGGTGAGTATGAAGATTTCTCTCTTTTGGGTTGTTGCACCATGTAGTACGGTACATGTTTACCAATGTTTAAGTGGTTATACTGCCTCTGTCATCAGGGTGCCAATTGGGTGGAGGGGGCTACGTTTATAGGAACTGGACAGTGAATGAAGTTGCCTGCCCCCAGCCAATGGGAGCAGGTGTCAAATCAAGCGTGGGTGGAGACCAATATGACAGCATGGGCGTGTGAGAGAGGGATGGAGAGAAAGGAAAAAGAGAGAGAGGGGTTGAAGAATAGCCCTTGTGAGGGCCTCAGGGAATGAATCTGGTGAGACATCAAGAGTTGGGTGGAGTGTGATCGGGCTATAACTCATGCCTCATAAAAGAAGCAAATGCACACCTAGCAGCAAATCATAAGTATGGTACAAATACATGGCAATCTTTGTGAAATTTTCTAGCATTTTATCTGATTACAGATTTAAATTAGCAGGATATGTATTTTAAAATGCCTGTTCATATCAAAAGAACATTTCTCTATCACATGGCACCAAACAAAACAACGAAGTTTTATGAACTTTCTGAGTTCTGCATGTAATAAAAATAATAAATGGCAACCAAAATACAGTATGCTTCAGAGTTGTGTAAGTAAATAGATTACAATTAGATAATTACCTCTGCAAAAAGCAATCCCTGAGGTTCCAACTGCAGTGCCATACCATGGCGGATATCATCAATAAACTCCTCTAGGCGCAAGAACTTGATGGCACAAAGAGATCGCCAGTCACGCCAGTATATACCAATTTCCAACTCCCGTGACTTATCCAGGTCAATTGAAAACCTGGACAAAACAGAAAAGAAAAATGACAGTGATGCCACTATTACTGACAAAATATTTCAAAGAGATGTCTGTATCACTGTTCCAAGACAACCTGCATTCAACAAATGATTTATAACAATATGTGCTGATAAAATGCAAGCCTTGGAGAACTGCAAATACAATGAGCAATGTTTCAGACAGACACTGTGGCACTATGACAGTCATTATAACTAATAAAATAATGTATCAGTGGTGTTCCAAACCACTGGAGGTATTATCCAGGTTCCTCAGATCAAGAAGTTAGTCCAATGGCTTCTATTTATCAGAATGACCTTCCGCAGGCACAATAACAAAAAAATATATGCAATTACAAAATGTGAAGCTTCTCATTATAATGAAGATGGCTGTCTTATGGCTTGTTGCATCATGCAGTCCAGTAGAAGTTTACTGACGTTTAAGAAGTACTTGCTATCTCCAGGACGACTCACCACCGTAAAAACCTCAAGTCCTACTTTCTAATTATAATGTTAGAAAGATATGTAATTTGCAGTAGGTACCTTAAATTGTATGTATTTTAGTCACCACATAAATATACTAACATGAAGGATTCCAATATTACATAAATGCCAATTTCACTCGTAACATGAGTAGTTGTATAATGCGGGTACTGAAGCTGTCCCCCCCCCAACAACCACGTCTCCTCTGTGAACATGACATTTCTATGCAGGACTGAATCCTTGGTATGATCTATGCAACTGGAAACAAAGCTGTGTGTGCCAATATAATAACCACTGGTAATTAAAGAGTTCACAAACGCTTGGACACGTAAAACAATTCTTACTAAAACTAAAGAAAATATTCCCACTTGCCCAAAAAAACAGCAAAACCCGGTAAAATACTATAAATCACATTACTGACTATATCATAAAATACCTGTAACTAAGTTTTGTCACAGTTTAAATGAAGATATCCAATATCTAAATTAAATTACCTTTGGTCCCAAGCTTGTTGAGAACAGGGCTTCCAACTGGTCTGGGCCACTGTCTGGTTATCCAGCTTTATAACTGCCATAATCTCATCTGCAATTGTACAAGATACATGGGAGCATTAAAACCAGACTTTTCCCCCCACACTGTACAGCATAATAGTACAGTCCACAGATCAGGAGAAAATCCCTGCTAGGAATTCGATATACGCGCATGCGCAAGATTTCGCGGTGAGTGACGACTGATCCTAAAAGCATTCATTCCACAACCACTGAACGAACAACAGACAACAGGCTTTCATGTGTTCTAATGGGTACAGCTTTAAGATTACCTCACAGTGGCACAGTGATTTAATTTAGAATATTATCGCAACACCCGCAGAACACATTAGAGGTGCACTCACTACACGCTACTCTTAACTGCTTAATGTTTTCAGTCTGTGTATAGTAGTGTAAAACTCTGACGTATCACACTTCCCACCAATAGCAGCCCTCTAGTTCAGCTTGGCCAGCACTGGTCACTCATTTGTTCACCACTGCTAACAGTGCCTAGAGGTTACAGTGGTCACTTTTAACATCTGTGATAGTTCCCCATGTGCCAAAAACTTTGCTTCACACAACAAATATTGACCTTTTCTGAACCACGTAATGTGTATTGAAGGGCTTCTTCTTTCTGAGGGCCATTTATCACTGCCACATGTCATCAAGTCAGCTGAGTTGTGGAAATGCTTGATCTTTCCTGTGGGGTGGTCTGTGGTAGATATCCCCCCCATTAGATACCTGAACAAGGCAGGTCTGAAATTTCGATGAAACAATTTTAAAACACTAGAAGTGAGGAAAACAAAACTGTTCAGAACTGAAAGGTCCAGGAGGTGACAATACATTTTTCATCCACTTCCATGTCCATCTGCTAAGGGAGTACAGTGAAACCTCTATCCATCGTTCCCCGAACTATCGTTTTCCCGGATGCATCGTCCGTTTTGTTCGGTCCCGGATACATCCCATATAAAATAATGTTACATTTTCCCGCTTCTATCGTTCCTCGAACTATCGTTTTATCGCATCGATCGTTCAAAAATCTTAGTCCTGACCCACAATTTTCCCGCAATGATCGTTTCTGAGAAATTATAACGAAATTTACGCGATGTTTTTAGAATTTAAAATGCTGGGTTTTGAGATAAATTAATACCGAAAGACGCACAATGTTTTTGGAATACGCAGTAGCGGTAACCTGTTATGCTGCCCAACCAGCACAGATCCTTTTGGAATGAGGGGTCAGTGGTGCAGGGGTGATAGTTGGAGTGAATGGCGGTGCTCATTGTCAGAAATGTTATGAGTTTAATTAGGGTGCACTCATATTTCGTTCCAGCGATGCCAGATGGCATGTGCAGTGTGAATTTCTTCAGAAATGCTTTTATTATAAGTACAAAGGAAAGGCGGGCGACACTTTTCATTCTTCTGGTTCAACTCGTTTCCAGTGGTTCAGTGTCTTCTACAGCTACGTTTCGTTGAGTTCGGCAATAATAGTATTTCCATTCTTCCTGTTATTGTCTGCGAAGGGGGTGGGAGCGAGCCCGAAGCTGTGCCGAGTTTTGCCGAAGCATTGGCAAAAGTGAAGTCGTTCTTTTATGAGCATAATATTAGTGAACGTGACGAGGAAAACATTTTGAACGTGGAAAGGGCTCTGTTTGGCCCAAAACGTAAAGTTTCGACAAACCAGCTGTACATTAAAGACTTTTTTGGTAAAAAGAAGTAACTTTGAAAGAGAAACATTCAGTTCTTTTTTTAATTTTGAATGCTTTCCCGCAACTATCGTTTTCCCATATTCATCGTTTTTATTTCCCACCCCCGCCAAAAACGATGCATCGAGGTTTCACTGTAACTGTTTTTGCTGTCATAGTCTTGTGCAATGGATGGTTTCAGAACATTTTCCTACTCAGCAATGAAATTAACTTCTGCTGGAATATGATGCATGTTTGTCAATATGTTTACATCTTGTTTTATTCCATACTACAGATGTCAAGTCACCCCTCATACTATAACAAATTCTTCTTGGACTAACGTGGTTTAATGGAGAAAACATCAACGTTTCGAGAACCGTCTTCATCCTCGTCCTCAGGGTACTGTATACTTATGACATCAGGACAACAGTCTGTTTACTTATGAAGAACTTACTGCTTGTCTCATCCTTAACACTGTATGACTTGCTCGAACTGCGTCCCGTTACACCTTTCACGAAGGACCGCAGATCACCCGGACTGGATAAGACATCCTTGTCTCTCCGAGATCTCCCAGGAACTTCCTCCAATAGGTCCTGGCAGCCCATCAATCTAGAGTGTTTAAAAAAAGTTTAAATCAATTAACCCATCATTCATCATTTCAGTATACATCACTCAGAAAATGCACCCAAAATATCAAAACTGATGGCCACAATGACACCTAATGGCATTTTTTACCAGATGATTGTCTATCTAATATGAAATTATGCAGAAACCATTCCACTGCCTTCTCCTGCTTTACTGAATTTGATAATTAATGCTCGAATTTACTTTCACTAGACTATTTCTATGTGGTTTCAGTTGTATAAAAGTCTCCTTCATTCAATACAGCTACTTTGCTCTTCCAAAACAAGGAACAATTTCTCCTATGACATAATAGTGGCAAGTCTGTGATTATATATTCTTCAGAAGGAATTTTACATTCACAATAAACAAAAATATGGATGGGCTCTGCTTTTTAGGAACTTTGTAGGGACTAGCTATGAACAACATGATGCAGTGTATTTGTAAAGTGTTTACCACTGTTATAAAAGATGTGAACAATAAATCAGCACAAAGATCGCTGTCTTCTTGGTTTTAGCGCTGCATAATCTGGTAGAAGTTTACAAACTTTTTAGAGATCCTTGCTGCCTCCATCATCAGGGTAATAAGTAAACAATCATCAATTCTTGATTACTACATGACATGTTCCATAATTTTTAGTGACTTAAAGAGAATTCCTTTTCTCTTTTCCAAAACAGTCTTAACAGAAAATAAGCATAAGAATTTATGATAAAAAATTATGTCCGTAACCACCAAGAAGATTACATGGCATCACAAATCAGAAGACGTCTTCACTGTTGTGAGAATTTCATATCTCTTAATGTTCCTCAATGGAGTTGATAAAGTAGAACAATTTTCAATTTATAAAATGACCCTTAAGCACACAAAAATCAAAAGCCCTTGTTTCTTTTGGGTTAGTCCTTATTTTTACTGTTGTGGGAGCTGTGATGTTACTAATTTCTTCTTAGGATCACATGCTGAGCCTCCCACAACACTGATACCAGCGATTTGCGTACTTGGGATCACAGTCAATGGCGTAACCAGAATTGTTGTTTCTGTCATTGATTGACAATGAGTTGAATCAGTGAATACGAGGAGTAAGGCTCACCTTACTTCCAGTTTCCCAGTGACAGCTGCACATCGCGTGAAGGACGACGGTGTCAGACCAGCAGACTTGGTGCCATCCCCCTGACCATGAAAGGGTTGCAGACTGGTGTACGTAACAGGAACAGGGCTAGCTGCCTGCACATTTTGCAACTCCCTTTTCAGCTGGGCAGCTGCAGGTGAGTCAGGTGGAAGTTCCTGTCTACGAAGTTCAAGCGATTTGCGAAGCAAATCTAACTTCCGACTTGACTCTGCAAGACTTGCTTGTGCCTGTGAAAAAAGAAACACCACCACCACCATTCTTCAACAGCAGAACCAAAATTAACCAACCACAGCAGAAGTATATTTTATTACACATATATGTTTTTGAAAAGGTTTTTGGATAATGTAGTAGTCACTTTTACATGTCAAGCTTGAGGCTAAGCACAATGCCACTGAGCAGTATATGAGCCATCAAGACATGGAACCATGTGTCTAACACCTCAGATTCAGTAAGTATGTGGCCAAATCATATTCAGTCTCTTTATCATCACAGAAAAACTGTTTGATACCAGCAAATAAACTGGCCATTCAGTTCACAGCTTACTGACACATGTCAAACACCTAACTTAAGATACACTTGATACATAAGCTGTGTGATTCTTCAGTTTCAGTAACTAATGTCAAACTGCCTGTGCATAGCTGCATGATTATCAGTATTAGTTACGGTTAGCATCAACATGGAAACTGGGGTCACTAAAAATGAAATCGATTTCTCTACTGCAACTCAGAATTTTATAACAAATAATTTGTCATGTCCAAATGATTACCTTATTCTCTTCTTCACTTCACTTTTCATGATTAAGCACTGCACATTTGGCATACATAATTACACTTCTAAAATATTCAATAGACATTTCTTTTAATTCCTCTGGTAACCAAAATTTGAGTGCAATAAAAACAACAAACAAACAAACACACACACATGTGCATGAATACATATACACAGATGATGGCTGTCTTCTGGGTTGTTGTGCCGTATATGAGTCATCGCCATGATGATGGAGGCAGCATGGACCTCATATTGGGGCTTGGGATAAAAAATTGAAATACTGCATCACAAAGTGCTTTGTTATGTAACTTCTCAAACTGCTCACTTACATTGTCCTTCTTCACGTTCCTGGGCATCTTATTTCCAAATACGTCTAACTGATGTACTTCCCTCAGAACAAGAGACCTTGTTTCGCACCCATAAAACACAAATGGCAAAATTGTTGTTTTACTAATCTACAACACCTTGGAAAGTGAACGGGTTTTATAGCTAGACAATAATAAACAACTTCAGACCTTTCTCCTAATTTCTTCCTAAACCTTATTTCTATTGCTTATTTCTGTTTTGCTATACTGAAATCAGCATATTTCTTTTGCATAAATTTGCTTGTAGACCAATTTCTTTTCCCACCTATGAGAGAAATTCAGCGTTATTTCCACAGTATTTATGCAGTTCTGTTAGACATATCTCGATTAATGTATCTTGGGTATTATAGTACTTCTTTTCTAATTGAAGAATACAAATTAATAAAACAATTTCTAATATCAAAAGCTGCTACTGTTATCACTAAACAGTGGAAAGACAATCCTCAATTCTTTACTGCGTGTCTTTTGTGATGACATTATATTCTTCATTTGTTTATTTTGAACTTCATCCATCATCTGTTCAGAGTTTCAAAAATGCCTCAACAATCACAATGTTTCAATTGCTACTCTGTCTTCAGATACAGAAGAAAACATCTGTTCTGTTTGATCTGGTAGACTGCACTATTCTTTATCTGCGGACATCAATGTTTCTTGTAATCCACATTAGTCTTCTGCACTGCAATGGACGTCAGTGGACAGCTAATCAAAACATCACACTGTAGCAAATGCAACTTTTCTTTGTGTAAAAGTTAAATAAGTGATGGTACTCTAACAGTTCAATATGTGACATTGTGCAGTTTGGATAGGCCGTACAAGGATTTGGGATAACATTCCTTAGTATGGAAAAAACCTGGTCTATTCTCATTACCTCATTATCCAATGCAGTCTTGCAGAAAATTAATTTATTATTTCCATATAAAATATTTCTAGTCTACAGCTTTGAACACTTCAAAATCATCTAAGTATCCTGAAGTTTACAAAGAAATGTTCATGTTCACACTAGAGAAAGTTTACACATCAGTCACTGTTGTTCAAAGTTGGTCTTTTGGATTGCAATGCTATGTGGACTTGAACATGGCGGCAGTATGTTCCTCAAAAACGTTGGTATCTACCTACAAGTCCACATGGAATTACAACCAAGAACACCAGCACTGACATCTTCACAGCCATGAGAATCAGAAATCTCACACAGTCTGTGGTGCCACCTATATTTATTTACAGGCCCTCCCATCCTGTGGCTGTCAAGAATGTACCGCAAATATGCATTACTGGTTGGTTCAGATTTGTCTCCTTTAAGCTTACAATATGAAGTCAGGTGACCTGAAAGTATCAATCAGCTGTCATTTTGACCAAACTAGTGACAGATAATGGAAGGGGGTAGAAATGTGTCTCCATTTATTTTGTTTTCAGAATCTGTTTGTCCAATTCATAGCACATATCAGTAATCATCTCCACTATCAATCACACTAGGGAAGTGTTGTTTTCATAATTCTCATTATCAGTACATGCATCTTCTGTAATGCTACTGCTCTCCATATCAGAATCTTTGCCAGTTACATTGATGTTGCCCTGAGCATCACGGGGTTGCATATTCTTCCAATTATAATTCACACTGTCTAATGGCATATCTCCTACAGAACGTGTTCGTGTGCGGTAACCACTGTCCTCATAATACTTCCGGCAATGTTCACACGCACAGTCCGGATTTTTTGAAGGTCCCACATGATGACCAGGTTTCCGAAATGTGCCAATAATTGTACCAAATTTCTCTGCTTTGGACAATTGATCAGTCCGTTTACCAGGGATATCTGTGAAAGGTGAAGTAACACTAGTTGTAACTTTGGATGGTGGAGGTGTTGGCATTCTTTCACCAAATGGGCCTATGGATGTGCGACACATAAATCTGTGTGGTCCAGAATCGCTAAGGCTTCCAAGATCAAGGGCCGGCGGCTTCGGTAAACACGAAGCCTTTGCTGTCACTGCACCTTTAGCAGGAGTCACCGATCTCATTTCACCCTTGCCCCTACCCGAAGGGACTCTCTTCACAGTGTCTTCTCTCTTGAGTGCTTTGCCTGCAGATTGTGGAGAAAGGTGTGTCTGTGGACCACAGAAACTCCACGCATCACCCGTCTCATCATCATCATCCGAATCCTCCGTCACTTCAGCTTTCCACACAGGCAAAGCCATCTTTCCAAGACGTTTTTCAAGAAATTCCTTAAATTTCTGTTGCTGCAGGAGATGCTTCCGCTCAACATGTGGAGACCTCCAAGTTTTTGAACCGTCGCCATCACCCCCGTCATCAGCCCAAGCCTTCTCCTTTTCACGAATTCGAAGCCTATCTGCCACATCAGCATACTCAAAACTGTCACTCTGGGCAAGGCTCAACGAACTCTGGACCAAGGAATCTAGATCAGTGACTGTGTCCTTCCATGAGGTTGCTGCTGCTGAGTCATACTCATCACTTAGGGCCATGCTTGATGAAGAGATGGTGGATGATGAAGGATTGCGAGAGGCAGAGCTCGTGACCTCACTCTGTGGCACACTTGTATCAGTTGCACCTCGCAGAGTTGAGTAGGAACTGATCTGTGAAGGGTAGTGAGAGCTTAAACCATCATCACTGTCATAGCCCCTTGCTACCTGCTGCTCTTCTGCTGTGCGAGTCATCTCATACTTGAAGCTCTCACTGCGGCGTGACGCAACACGCGCAACCTTATCTTGGCGCTCCAGGTGCTGTCGACTGGGATAACCTGCAGGTAATTTATCTTTATCTATGTGAGTGTGAACCACCTTAAGTTTATCTGATTCAAAAACAGTCTGTGGAGATGAAAATGAATCTGAGTCATCACTGGAACAGCTTGCATCAGCATCTTCAGAACCGGTGCAGTAAACGTCGATGTGGACAGTACGGGGTTTGTGTTGCCCCTTGTCCTTGGGCTGGCTAAGAGTGCACTGTGAACCCTGAGACTTGCGACCTGGGCCACCAGACAGAAGAGGGGACTGACCACACAGACGAGCTGGTGAGCGGGTCAGTCGGGAGGTGGGCTGCAGGCAACAACAAATAGAAGTCAGTTGTTTACACTGCACATCACTGAACAGACAGATCAAACGGACCAGACAGTTGAGCCAGCTACAAATATCAGTCAGACGCTCAGTGCAGGTTGTGAAGAACAAAAGTGTTATCAGCAGCAATTTGGTTTTAAACTGGTTACAGACTAATATGATTCACAAAACCAGTCAAGCCAATTTTTTACATGTGATAAGAAATTTTGTTAAACAAACTGTTTCTCTATTGACAGCTGTGTCCAGGGGTGGTTATTAAATAATTCATTCTGATTATGCATTGTTTTTGTAAAGCTCTCGATCAGTTGCAATAAGATATAATACTTGACACGGAAAAATATAATAAATATTTAATGGTGGGTGGTCTCACTAGTAGCCAACAGAATCCGTGTTGTACATTAAAATCACATAACATTAGAATAAGCATGTAATGCTGAAACTGCAAAACAGTTTCATTCACAACTATCTAATCAGAGCAGCATTTCCAACATATCAGGACGTTCTGTAAACCATTTAAGAGAAATCAGTGGCCAACAAGGATTTAGCCACTATCACACAGTAATATTTTTAAAGATATGGTCCGTCTGATAAATAATATTGCATTTATAAGCATGAAAGAAAGGATTCCTAAACTTGCCTTCATGTGGGTGATATTGGGTTCTACTACGTTGATTACTGGAAGCTGGAGCAGTTCTGAATCAGTCTTCCGCCTTGCACCACCATACACCACTTTGTTTCCCATCTTGGGTTGAATGGGCTTATTTTGGCATACTGACGTCACACCTAGGTCAGGTGCAGTGGCACTTATATGGTCCGAGGTCTGAGATGCAACATCCTGACTCCGTTTATCTACGTCTCGTAATACTCGTTCGGGTACATGAGTGCAAAAATGTGCTGTAAAAGTATTTGCTGCTGATCCTCGTCTAATAGCTGTGGGACTCTTGCCACCTCCACAGACTTCGCAAATCTCTGGCAATGGAGAAAAGTTTGGGCTTCTGGGTCTAACTTCCTTATAACCTGGCAATG